ATCAATTAGGTATTATGCTCAATGTAGTAGAGGAAAAATATTTCTACAAAAAAATTTAAAAGTATTGGAAAAAATCATACATAAAACAAAAAGAAAATGAAACAAATATATACAATTTTAAATAAAAATCAACACAAAGTTTAATAATATTAAAATATAAATTACAAAATAAGCTGTAATGTAAGTTGTTTTTTTAAAAACCTTGAAAAATGTTTGCTTAATGTCTAATAATAGTTATTAGTTTTCAGTGACGTCTTGTTAGAATCAGAAGCATGATACACATTCGGAAAGCTAATGATTTTATATAAAATAATATTTAACTCTCGGAATGAATTATGTCCTTTTTGTAAACGGTACATTTTTGGGCTTTAAATTATGGAGAAGAGATTTGCGAAACTTTACCTCATTAGTATTGTCCAAAAACGGTCTTGGTCTTGCACTTTGCAAGGCCAAGACCAAGGCTGCCTAACAAGACTAGAACTGGTAAAAAAATCGATTTTTTAAGTAAAAATAAGGGTAAAATAATTACTAATACTTTTGCATTTAACTCCTCTAATTTTTCATTCGGGTTTAGTTAGGTTTCTCCTATGTAAAAGATTACAGTAATATCTCTATAGCAATAAGCTAATAAGTAACTGCAAGACTGTTGCGAGACTCTTGCGCAAAACCAAGACCATGACCAAGACTGAGTTCGCAAGACCAAGACTCGTCTCGGTCTCGCATTTAGGCAACACTACTCATCTTTTATGTCCAAATCAAGTTCAAGAAAACAGAATTTCTCCTGCCTCGATCCGTTAACTTTTTAAAACATATTTAGGTTTAGGTTAATCATCAGATCTTCTAATTTTTTAGTGACTTTTAATTAATTTGTAAGAATTTAAAGATCGAAATCGGACTTATCACTTCTTCGTGAAATTCCTTTTTTTGGTTTGATACGACATTCGGGGACCGGAGTGAGTTAGGAATTGGGCTAATAAGCTCTGTGTCCTGGGACAGAAGACTTTCCTGGGGTACACTGCGTTATAATGCGGGAACTCATAATTAATTAATTATTTATTTTAGCTAGTTTATTGAGAAAGATTACAATCTGTCTCAGTTAAGGACACTTTTAGTTCAGAGATTACATTCACCCCGTATGTACAGAAGCATAAATTAAGTAATAACGCAATCATACTTAAAATAAGATCAAAATAAAATAAAATAATTAAAGGGGAAACCTGGTGATTGAGTGTGATCCTAGCCCGGTCACTTCCATGCACAATCGTTTTTATCGCACATATTAGTATTTATAAATTATTTGTTTACTATTCTCTTAATTGACTCTTCAAATATCCTCAATCGTGTGAACAGCCCATTATGTTAACGAAATCGCTTCGGGTTCTGAGTAAGGGAAGAAAAGCGGAAAAAAGAAAAAAATGAGAGGGTTAGAAAGGGGACAAATATGGGTAATAAATTCAAGTGGGAGGGACTAGGAGAGATCACGTAAACGTCAATCGGGAACGACGCATTCCGTTTATCACATTCTACATTCACCTCTTGTCGCCTTACCCTCCTTACATCTCCAGATTTATAAATATTAAAACGAGGACTTCTCTCTCTTTCTATATCTCTCTCTTTTCGTCGGCCACTCCTGTTTGTTTCGCGAGTTTCCTCAGTTGCTAAGTGTAGAAAAGGCCACCTCCTCACTTTTTCGAAAAGTAGTAAATCTTATCATTTGTTCATAAGTCCTAAGGGAGATGTCTATTTATATAAGGTATATATGAATAAGGTTAAGTAACAGTTTTCTATCTCTAAAATTTTTCTTTATTTTTATGACTTTTTGGGATCCACTTTATTATCCCATCTTCAGACTAGATTGGGCAAGATTGGCAAATTGATATGATAATTATAAAATTTTACAAAATTAAAAAAAAATACACAAATGTTTCTTATTTCTAGTTGAAAGATGGGATAATAAATTGGGTCAAGAAAAGTCATAAAAATAAAGAAAAAATTTTGGGAAAGTAATCTGTTACTTAACTTTATTCACATATCTTATATAATTCTTATCACGTTTCTTGTTCGTCGATTGTAAGACTTAGAGAAGTTTCGATAAAATTAACTTTTCTCTCCTATAAAAATCCAACGAAAAATTTCGAATTCAAGTCTTCAATGGGAATAGATGTTTCTAGATCCTCTATAATTTATTATAGAAATTATCTATTTAAATTAGATAGTTAGGTAAATAGATGTTAAAGTAACATTTTCGTCACAATCCGTCACAATCCATTACCTTGAGTGCCTCTTTAAATTTTCGATTTCACACATTTTTCTCCAATACTACTCTGATAGTTTTTAATAAATTCGTTATGTATATATATATATATTTTATTTTCAATCGTGCATTGTTACTTTAACGGTCGTGGTAGAGTAGGAAGCATCACCGATTGAGCATGTTGAGTAGACTATCTTGATAATATATTGTATACATAACCAAACGTGTTTCCCTGGAGTCGCTTTTACGTCTAATGCATCATAAAGAATAGTTCCCTCTGAGGCATAAGTAATATTTTTTTTTTTTTAAGTTTTATTAATTCTGCCACAATTAAGAACAATAATAATATTGATAAAAGGGTTCATTCATACCATGCTTACATAAAATTAAAAAAAATTAAAAGGAATAGTAGAAAGATAATAATATATTAAAAAATATAAAACCAAATGAAAAGAAAGGACACAGAAAAAAACTATAATATAAAAAAGCATAAATACTTAAAAAGTAAATACTTTTTTATTTAACAAGTCTCGATCACTTAGTTTAGACATTAAGCCGATATGCCGCTAATGACCCGCTAGGGTAGATGCGGAATGTAACAATAAATAAATAAAATAACTTTGAAATAGCTTTCAGAGAAAAAATTCGTATCGTACTTTGTTCGACTAATTGACAATATAATGCGAAAATACGTAAATGCATGAATTTATTAATGAAAGATGTTTTATTTTGCTTTGGTAATATTCGGAAATAAAGTGAACGCAACAAAGATTCAATAAATATTACGAACTTTCAATTTTTCTTTTTTGTTTTAGACGTGTTGATCGAGTATAAATAGAAGGTATTATTAGGGCCATGGTTATTCATTCGTACAAAAGGTAAATAAAAATAAATAATTAAAATAAACATAACATTATAGAGGGAGGTTTTAAAAAGAGGTATGGAAATATAAACTATAAATGAATATAGTTAATAAGCAAGTTTAATTAGCCTGTAATCATTACTTTATCAGTTAAAGATTTCTTCCCTTGAAAATGGCCTAATGACTGAAACGTTGGTGTAGAAAAAGAAATAAACAAGGACTAGGACTATCGTGATCAAATTGTGTGTTTAAAGTTTATATAAATATAAATATAGGTATATATATATATATATATATATATATATATATATATATATATATATATATATATATATATATATATATATATATATATATATATATATATATATGAAATTTCATAATTTATTATAGTCGGATAACAGGTCATGAAATTACATGACCTATTATCCGACTATAATTCATATTTTAAGTTATAATATATAAAGGTCGAATTATAAAAAAAACATTGTAACACACACATATTTGTACATAACAAATAATTTAAATTAACAAAAAAAAATTAAATAAGATAAATAGAAGTAATACATCCATAAACCAAAGGAATAAAATATATATTCAAGCCAAGTAAATGTTTTTTTTTTTTATTTTAATGAAATTTACAACTGTATTGCATGGAAAATACAACAAGTAAATGTTACATTGGTAACATGACATGTACAACATGAAGAGAAACTACCCATTGGTGGAACTCAAATTAAAGTTCTACATTAGAAGGTCCCGAGGCCATCTTCTTTTCAGACGCCTCGGAGGGTTATCAGGGATCCAGGAGGAAGCAAGGTTTGAAACGAGAGAGTTCTGCCGTTTGTTATGGAAGGATAGATATCTGGGTTGGGCCAAATCGGAAACATATGGAACATTAAGGTCTTTATGGATGATTTTCTTTGTGACGAAGTAAGGAGCGTTGAGGATTTTACGATGGATTTTGGATTGTATGGATTGGATACGAGAGAAATTCTATGGTTTTGTGGAGTCCCAAAGCTCAATTCCGTAAGTCCAAATAGGTCTTATTATTGTCATATATACGAGTCGTTTGTAATTGATTGAAAGCTTAGAGAGTTTGTCTAGTAAGTGCTGCAGTAGTCGAAAAAGTCGGGCGGTTTCTAGTCGTTTCAGTCTGGTATGGGGGTTCCAAGTGAGTCGTTTGTCAAGGTAGAGTCCTAAGTATCGGATTTGTTCGACAGGGATAAGAGGGCTATTGTTGAAGGATACTGTAGGACAGGAAGTCATAGGTTTACGGCGAATAGTGAAGGTAAATTGATGGGATTTATTGGAATTTATTTTAATCCTCCAGTTTTGCCGATTAAATTTAGAAGAAATGAAACACATCAACAAGTACATACATATGCCCAGGAGACTACAAGTCATGCTTTGTTCTCCAAACGTGGAAGGCAAAGCAGGACACAGGAGATCACAGGGGAGTGCTGGGCTCCCAACCGAATCACTGGTATTAGAAGCCATTAGAGACAGATAAAGCGCAATATACCAAGTTCAACTAATATAATATATAAAATAAAAATAAATAAATGTCGTAATTTTTATTTATTTAAAAAAAATGGCGCTATAAATAGTGATAAAAGAATGTTGTCACAGAAAAAGAAAATGTTTTGAAAAAGAATACATAACAAATTATCGTTGTAGCAATTCTTAATAATGTAGCAAAAGCTAATCCTTAATAATAATGCTACTAATTCATTTGAGGCGTGACCAAGGCACAACTTCGTGCATATTTAACGAAGCATACATTAAGTACAATATTTGCCTTGAAATAGATTCTCAAATAAAGATGAGAGCGGTATATGATGACGTTACTAAAACAGAGCACCCATTTACATGTTATGCTAACTAAGCACGGATTCTCTTAAACGGTGTAGTCACAAAACGGTGCGCTGACGACATAAGTTTCAACATACATAAGCAGAACATGCTCGCCATTTAAGCGGCATCTTTTAAGTTGCATTAAAAAAAAAAATCATGAAAAACTCCTAAGAGCCGAACATTTTAGAAGTGAAGCTTCCAGAATTTGGGTCGATATATACAATTTTAAATTCAAGGCAGCCCTCCTATATTTACACTCTCCTGCATAATAATGTATTTTATCATCTTTCATAACGCGGGCTACATTTTTTTTTTTTAAGTATTACCGTGTACTGGTGGAAAAAATAAATCTATTCTGCATTTCAAAGTAACCTTAAATATTATTCAAAATATTTTGAGTATACAAATTAACATATTTTGGCTTTCAATTATAATTGAATTTTAGTTGGTTAAACAGTGTAAGTGTCGCTAAAAATCGCCAAGCAAATTCTTACGATGTTAATGAAAAAATAGTATGTGATTAGAAAGAGAAAAGCTTAAAAGAAATAACTTTTTGTTTACAATAAAAGTGTAATGAAATTAATTTATTTTTAATTTTCAGTTGAATAAAACGGTTAAAAAAGGGATGAATTTTTTTAAAGAATATTTAAAAAATGCATTACTAGAAAAAAAAGGCAGTTTCGGAAGGAAACTTATTTTCATATTACTTATTTAAATGTTTAGGTTCGTTTAAAAAAAAATACACCTTCAGATTCATTCGTTGTTTTTATCTCGATACCCAAAAAATCGATCAGGATTCACTTTGGTTATAAGCGACTCAAACAATAGATGAGATTTTGGTTTATTATTTTCAATAATCAACCACTGTGATCGACCGAAAAATTCAAAAACTTAACTCCCTCTCAAAATTTGAGGTTTCACGTTTCGGGATGCGTAGAATTCGAAAAAAGAATCAAAAATTTATTGTCCGTCCGCCGTCCGCCGTCCACGCATTTTTTCCGAAACAACTGGACCGATTTTTTTCAAATTTGGGTATAAAATCAGAGGTCATCCGAGGATGACCCTCCTTCATCGACATTACTATCTGCCTTTTACTTTCAAAATGGCGGCCGAAAAAACCTTCGCTAAAGTCATTTTCTCGGCGCCCTTTAAATTTATCCATACTTCAACGAAAAGAAGCTGGAAAAAAAGTTACGAGGGATGGTAAAATTAAATTCCGAATAACTCAAAAAGTTTACGCTTTTTTGTCGATATTGTGATAAGATGTTTCAAAGGTATTTAAATTTTCTGAAAAATGAAAGAAGTTTCATGGAAATCAAAGCATTATTAGTAGAGATATCTCGATTTTTAAATATTTTTGGTTTATGATTTTCAATAATCAACTATTGTAATCGACCAAAAAATTCAAAAAGTTAACCCCCTCTCAAAATATGAGGTTTCAAGTTTCAGGATGCGTAGAATGCGAAAAACGAATAAAAAATTCTTTGTCCGTCCGCCGTCCTCCGTCCGCGCGTTTTCTCTGATATTATAGGACTGTTTTTTTTTTTTTTTTACAATTGAGATTTTCTCGTCTATTATAGCAATTTAATTCTTTGTTTTTCTTTCATTTTTTTTTCTAAGTAAAGATAATATTTTTTTCACAGTTTTATGTATTTCTAACACAGTTTTATTTGTTTTGTACCGTATATATTTAAAGTTTACTTACTTTAAAAAAATAATAATTTAACAGATCTTCTGGGCAAAGATTTGTTTTTCTGTATAATTTTACTATTCTTAAGAGACTTGTCGTAAACTAATTCGTTTTAGAATAGAGATATTAAAAATAAAAAAAGTAAAAATACCGAAGTTACCTTTGATCTGTGAAGTTCCATTCCACCATTGAACGGTTGGTATAGGTTTTGCACCCCCCGCCTCACAGGATAGGCTGATTGTCTCGTCTTCGGCGATAGACTTTATAACTGTGCCATTGTCCAGTTTTTCGTGCACATCCGTCCTCAACGCTCGGACGAACTCAGGCTTAACTGAAAAAAAAAATAACCATTATTATATAAACAAAGGAATTCCTTATAGTTAGTGACAATATTTACCAAAAATGTTGAAAAACTTACTCTGTAGAGTAATCACAAGAGCTATTCTAATTCAAGCGGTTTTATTGACATAATTATCACTATTACTATTGTCCTTAGATATAACATCCTGTAATATTTCTCTATAAATAAAATAAAATATTGACATAACAGAAACTTACCCTAATATATAGAACAAACAATGGCTGAGCTTTAAAATACAGTGAGATCAATGAACTGTATAAAAAGACATGCCAAAGTAACTAGTTTTTGAATTTTTATAAGAAAAAAAATCCTAGTTTAACCAGCCTTAATCGAGATTATAAAGAACCTTCCGAAGATGGAGATATAATTTGAAATGTTACGCCAATATCAGTGTTAAGAACATTTAGCCAAATTCCACTAAGAATCAACTAATGTTATTTATTTGTCTTACTTGTTTGTTATTTGTTACATTATATTATTATTTGTTTTTATTACAAATGATAAGGATTTGCTGTGTACATAATTAATTAGGCGTGCCGAAGTTTAGACTCAAGCATGTGGATCAATAAGAGATTAAAAAAAAAATACATAAGAAATATAAGATACAGATAAAAGTATATATATAAGCGAAGTGAAGGGAAAAAGGGAAAGTTCACATACAATAATGGTAATGTAAACATAACAGTGAGCCTCCTCTCTCCCAAAAAGAATTACAAATAAATTAACGAAATGCTTAGTAAAACTAAATAAAGAAGAAGGGATAAGAATCTATTATGTAAAGTTTTGATTAATAACAAATAATTGGAATACCCTAAGATAGAGTAACTTTGGGAAGGCGGGTAAAATTTAGTTTGTGGTGATTCTGTGGTGATGGATACACTGTTTTGGTTCAGTCTGCGAAAATTTGCTTCGTGTAGGCATATTGAGTACAGTGAAATGCCCTACTATCTTGCGGCAGTTAGCAGAGAACTCTAGTTTGTTTGATTGTATATATATATATTTCTATAATCTGTTAAATAATAGATGAGTTTTAAGGAAATTTATAACTTTTTTTATATTTGATTCCTCATTATTTAATATAGCTGAAATATCCGGTCTAAGAGATAATCTATTAACATCACTAGCTGACTCTTATGAGTTCAGATAATGGATTTATTATAGCTATGTACTAGATGTGTAGTTATGAGACTGGGTACATAGTACAGTACATAGGGTATTTGTCGTTTGAAATACGGTTAACGGTATTCGCCAAAGCTTAAACTATGTAATTACATGGAACCCGGAAAATACCTTATCTCGTTAATACTGGGTAGTTGTTAATACTTCAATTACGCGGAAGATTACACAAACAATAATAGTGCTCAATGATCGTTCGATGAAACACAACTCTCTGATTAAGCCAATGACGTATTTGAGGACTAGGATTTCCAGGAGTCCTATTTTCTCTTCCACACAAGGCCGAAGCTTGGATTGGAGCTCCAGAATGAGTATATATTATCTTAAATAATCATACAATATATAGTATGTAGTATATACAGGTATCGGAAAAGGGTTCCGGCTAGTGTTGCCCAATTTGTTTTTTACCAGAACTGGTAAAAAACAAATTGTTTTTGTAAATAAAAATGAAGGAAAAATAGTTGCTAATACTGAACAATTTTAGTTACTGTATGCAAAGAATTTGTATGACCAATATACTTTTGCTAATAACTCTTCCAATTTTTCATTCACGTTTAGTTAGATTTCCCTATCTGAAAATTTACAATAATGTCTCTATAGTAATAGGCTAATAACTTCAAGACTGTTGCGAGACTCTTGCAAGACCAAGATCAAGTTCAAGACTGAGTTTGCAAGACTGAGACTTGTCTTGGTCTCGCATTTGGGCAACACTAGTTCCGTCTTTCAGGAGCGATAGATATTGATGAATGAGGTATCGAACGAATGTGAATTTTATGGAGAATTGAAGAATGCCAATTTGAAAACATAAAATCATACTGATAGTGAACTGACAGCATTATATTGAGAATATTGAAAGGTTTAGACGTGTTGAATCGATAGATTGAGAAAGAAGTAATAGTGATTTAAAGATTTCAAAAGGATATCAAAACTCGTAATGGTACCCCAGTTTTAATTTGTTTAAAAAAATTATATTATTCATCGCTCCTTATTGTCAATTAATATTATTATATAATTATGATTATTCATATGAACAAATTGTTACTATAATATTAAACTTGTCCACTACATATAAAAAATAATAAACCAAAAAACATATAATCCCAACAATAGTTTGATGCTTTTATTTGTAACATTTTCATTGTACGTTATACTATGCATCCTTTTCTATTACATAATAATTATAATTATGTCACAATATAATATAAATAATATTGTATATAATATAATAATTAATATATTGTATTCAAGGGGCAATGTATAGATCGAAAAATAACTGCTGCCATTTAGATAAAATCAAACTACCACCTCAAGATGAATAAATACCATTCCCATACAAATGTTTAGTTTCTAATAATAAAAAATCTTTATTTTATATTAGGAAAGTAGGAGGTTAAAGGAGCTCAACACACATGCAATTAAATGAACAGTTGTGCAATTAGTGCTAATTATAGAGCCAATAGGAGAGCTGTTCTCCTAATACTAAAATAAAATATGGCATACACTAAAAACATTTTTATAAAATAGAGAGATGACAGGAGCTTATTGTTTTTTGTTTTCCACAAGAAAATAGAACCCGTATAATAGCTATAATTAAGATATTAAATACGATTTTTAAAAAAATCAAGAAATTTCATTCCATTTATCTCACTCTTAACAAAAGGATATAAACGAGATCGTACCCCACCTGATACACAAGCCATTAACGCTTGCATAAACACATCGTAAGGAGGATTTTCACACGAGGGGCGGATTATTCCAGAAAATTAACCCCCTCTCTTCCCGCCACCACTAAATATAAGGGATGTCAACGGTATAACAAGCCATTTCTTTGTTCACGGGCGATGCACCGCATTGGATCCCTAGGGCTTAGGGGAGAGAGGAAGGCGCGTTGCAGGATGGAATTTCTTGGCCCTTTATGCCATTCATCTCCAGGGCAAGCCCTTCTCCTATCACATTCACACAACATTAGATCGATTCCACTGTCTCGCGGGCATGTGCAGTGATAAGACTGCAGCACCGTATCTTATCAGCGCAGCCCCATCCAGATGACCTTAGCGTGTTCAGTTGAGCAGAAGAACACCCCCCTTCCTTCCACCCCTCGTCCCTAGTGAATTGATCAATTTTGATCTTCAGCTCAGATTAATCACGGATTGCATTTAATGATTAGTGATAAGGATGTTAAAATCATCTTACAGCACTTTTTATTTTATTTTTTAATATTGGGTTTCAACTATTACTGTTAAGCTATTTCGAGTACGTCTACCTTGGAATTACCATACAAGAGTGAACAAACTCTAACATTCCAACTAATTATAAAATTTTCAACTATATGACTGTAATAAGATATTTGAATTTACAGTGTTGAACTTTGGTGCTCCATCAAATCGCGGAGGTCCTCTTGTATCCAATACTTTTATTCAAAAATCCTTCATACAATCCTCAATGTTTCTTACATTGTCATAATAAACTTCAGAACCATTCGAACCTTTCCATTTGTTGCAGGATTTATTCTTCAATCCCTGAATAGTTCTCGAGGCATCTGAAAGGCCTCGTAATCTCGAAATTTATAAATTTTATTGGAGTAACAATTTCTTTAGAAGCCTTTTCGTGTCATTATATTTCTCTGAGACATTTACTGGATGTATTTTAATTTTAATACTTTTTATGCCTGTATATTCTAGGCAATCATCGTATTTTCTATAACATACAAAACACTGGACATTAAATAGAAATTAAACCAGAAGAAGAGACTTCGATTATTAATAGTAGAGAGAAAAACCCGAAATAAAATGAGTAATAGAACCACAACTGTTAGGAAGAGCCCCCAAGAAAGGAGTGTAAATAATCATTATTGTTATGGTTATGGGCGAGGAGGAAGGCTTCAATTAGAGGGAGGATTGGGAGGAGAGGAGGAGGAGGAGGTAACAGATGAAGGAGGCCTGCCTGCTCAAGGTTTCGGCAATTTGTGAACAAATCAGGCGGCAATTAGCCAGCGCGGGGAAACGTTTTGCGCGGGACAATTATCAAATTCCGGCGGGAAACCTTTCTTTATCGGAATTAACGGTCCTAATATAAAGGGCCATCAGTTAGTGCCTTCTTCCACTCCTCGTTATTCCGCCCTTAGCAAGCCCAGATCCGAAAGGAATTTATATGGGATTTACCTTTAGTAATATTTTCCCTTCGCCTTAGGGTCGTAAATCTGTCGGTGGGGTTTTCGCACCTGTTCCCGCCCGTCCTCTGGATTACAATGCGGGATGAGAGGTCCTCGTCTGATTTATCTGGTTTAAAAGTTGAGCTAGCAACATGTGTCCTTTCGGGGGCATTCTGACAATATTCTTCTGTGTTTCGTTTGTCCGGCAAGTAATAATACATTATATATTACTATATAAAATAAATGCTAATGTACATCAACATGTATGTGAAATATACTGTCAGAAGGAATAGAAATCACCATACAAACACAATATCACGAAATATCTGAATATCGTTTTAAACAAAATGTATAAAAAGCAAAAATCAAATTAAACATTAAAACGTGTATCTCCTCCATTAATGCACATGATTTAATGGTCAACCACTAAAATACACTACTTTTATTTTATTTTATTTTTTTTAATAATCTATTTATTGAATAATAATACAATCAGCCACTGCTTGAACCATTTGAAGCCACTGGTTCAAATGATGAAAATTTTCAAAATAGCGAGGTTATCTAGGCCAGACGGCTCAATATTTTTGAAGGCCACCTTTTTTATCGACTTTGTGCTAAAATTATCTTACGATTCAAGTGGAAAGCAAATGGGCATTTATTAGCAAATAGCGCATTTGTAGGGCTATAAGTATTAGGGCTAAAAGTTCTCATGTATATACAATATATACAAATAATAGAGTAATGAATATAAATGTGAAAAGTAAATAAATAATAATGATGAATAAAGTAAATAAAAAGAAAAAAATAAACAAATAAAATTAAATTAAAACTTCTAATCACAATCATACCTATATACATAAAATACACCACTAGTTGATATACTTGTACCTCCAATCTCTATCTTAGTAATTCTTCGTACATACAAATTATGTGAATGATTAACATAACCTTAATATTAATGCCCTTCAATGTGGCAGAATGTATTAATTAATATTCAATAATTTGTTTTTATTTATATTTATTAAGAAATATTACAATTTGTCACAAATTCAATAAATTAAAAAAAAGTAAATTCTAGTTCATCAAGATTTTTTCAAACCTATGTTGTACAAAATTATAAAAGTTACATTCTTCTCTCTTAAAGTTCACTCCAAAGCTTTGCAAACCATCTACTTTCGTTCCCTTTTGACGCCTTTTTTTATAGCAGATAAAATAATGACAAGAAATTGATAGAAAACAAAGGAATTATATAAAATTAATTGTAAGTTTTATATACCTTGGGTCTGAAATTAATAGCAAAAATGACATGGCTCAAGAAATACAAAGAAGGATCACGGCTGCCAATAGATGTGTCTTTGGACTTGGCCGACACTTAAGAAGTAGGTACCTCTCAAAGAAGACCAAGCTGATCATATACAAGACCCTTGTTCGGCCTGTTTTGACATATGGCTCAGAGGCTTGGACGATGACAAAAAAGGATGAGATGAAGCTGAGTGTGTTTGAGCGAGGAGTCCTCAGAAGGATTTATGGTGCAGTAAAGGAGGGTGATGTCTGGAGGAAAAGAAAAAATAGGGAGCTCAGTTCTCTCTATGCAGACATCGACGTAGTCACGTATATTAAACTGGCCAGACTAAGGTGGGCAGGGCATGTGGCCAGAATGAGCACCCTTGAAATACCAAAAAAAATAATGATGGAGGAGCTGCACCTCGTAAGACGGGTAGGAAGGCCGAGGACGAGATAGTTGGACAACGTGGCCTATGATGCGAGAACCCTGCTTGGTGTACGGAACTGGAGAGCTGCAGCAGAAGACAGAGCCAACTGGCGGAGGCTCTTGGAGGAGGCCCAGTCTCGGTAACGGGATGTTGTGCCACAAAAAAAAAAAAAAAAAAAAAAATTGTAAAAAAATTATGTACAGAGCACTGAACTGATTACTTTCAATAAGTGTTTCTGTATGTCTACAACAATGTATAATATTTTCTAAATGTATTTTGAATCACCAACTATTCTAATATTGAAACAGATAAAATGATCTTAATGTTCCATATTTTGACATTGTGGCCCAATACAAACATTTATTTTCATCGTAAACTCAAGACCCATCTAATTTCTGACCTAACTTCTCATCCGATTCCTGATGGGCGTATGAGAAGGAGGCGATCTCGGGAGTTTACATACTGCATATAGAGTAAATTACATACTTTATTCGTTGTAATACAGTTAGAAATTTCAATAGAAAACAAAATCTTACTTAGAACTCTACCTATATTATTTTTCCCTATATCAATTACTAATTTTAGTGAGCCATTAAAAAATTTTTTTTTTCCTTCTACCATATTCTGGGAGGTATGTACCGAGAACATTTTGAGGAGTAAAACGTGAAATAATTTTATATGCAACAGGTACGTGATCTAGTATTTATAATCAGTAAGTGCTGAAAGGCCAGAGGGAAAGTTAAATGTTAGATTTTACCAGCCTTAATAATAATTAATAATTTAAATAAAAAGGAACAATGATATTGAAAGGACTAGTTCAACAAAAAGAACTATTCTAATGGTTCTTTTATAGATGTAAATGTGTTTTATTTATTTTAATTTCATTTAGCTTTTACGTATTATTTTATTATCTGTAAATATGTATATTAATTTTTTTTAATTTGTTTTATTACTTTTTCTATATTTTCCTTTTTGTAAATATGTATTGTGCGAATGATTACTATAGATCTAATATTAATGCCCTTCAATGTGGCACAATTTATTAATATTCAATAAAATAAAATAAAATTTAAAAAATAGTTCCTTTAAAAGAACAAAGCTGCCTACCTCTAGTGACTACTATGACTATGAAGTTGTAAATTATTGATTTTGTCAAATAGTGTAATGATATTTTAAACCACTACAATGAAACATAGTAAGCCACTCTAGGGAAAAAGTAATTATAGATTCAGTCCCAATTAACAACATTTATATGTTTTTATTTTATTTTTTTTTTTTGTTGAAAGAGGATTTCTTGCTTAATAATGTATAAGGATTATACAAATCTATCTCTAAGGTATCACTATTTTACTTGTTCCAATAAAACATTCTGTCTGGAAATATATATATATCTTCTTTAAAAAAAAAAAAAACGGCTGATCAACGCCTATGCTAAATATTCCGACAAAAACAATTAACTTATACGAAGATATTATTAATTTCTGTTAAAATGTTACAAATATTATTAATACTTTTAAGTATATAGATTTAAGCAAGAGAAGTATTTTTAGAATGAAAAGTGGTAAAAAGCTCGTAAGCTGATTAATGGGTGGGCGGACTTGAAAGAAGAATGCCACCCTCCAGGGACCTATTGTTGTGAAGCTAACTTTTCTGTCTCCTATTTAATCCTATGATTAAGTGGTTCTTAAAATCTTACGAAAATACCCCATTTTCTTTTCTTTTTGTGACAATGAAATTCTTAAAATAATAATGTACAGAACATACCAATAAACCTGTTATGTAAGTACATATGATATTAATCCACATTAATATGATTTCGACTATAATATAGAATAAATTGATAGTAGAACATCCTAGTGAGAGCTCACAATAGTGAATCATCATTCTTTTCCCTAATGCATTTGACGTACGACCAATATCAGTGCATCAAGAAATATATACAACATAATATATACAAGATGTACCAAATTCGCAAAAACAACATAATATTATCACGATAGTCTATTCAATTCGGAAAATCGGTGAAGCTTCAACTTTAGCAAGACTGTTGAAGTAATAACAGAGAAGTGCAATAAAAGTGAATACCTGCTCAATTAAGTTGATTGCTAAAACAGTCAACATAGTGATCATTAACATACTTAATCGACAATATTCAGTAAGAGATCAAAAAAAGATAAAACCCTGCAGCATTATCAGCCAAAGTACCGAATATAATAATTTATTCATTCATTGCTATAATTATCTCCTCCTTCCCATATCTGTTCATAGAGCTCATAATGTAATGGAATGAAATGAAATTAAAATATATTTTATTATTCTGGGACTGTTGTCCCTTTAGAACAAACTAAAAGTGCTGAATACATGTGTAAGTGGTCATAAATAGAGTATATATTTACAATATTGGTTATTTAAAAGTTAAAATACAGACGGAAAGAAAGAAAACGACATGAAAAGCGTAAATATACATATATAATAAGAAGGAGATCTCTCATCCAACTCCTTTTTAGTTTCTTCCTCATCTTCTGAGGTATGTCAGCTGTGGCCATGTCTCTTATTAGTCCCCCATATTTGTCTTTTCAATTGACTTTTAGTTCGTCGAAGACGATCATAAATAATAATTTTTAAAAAGTAAACAAAACAAGATAAGAATCCAATGGCACTCATAAAACCAACCATTACAACCATAAAATCTTTTGCTTGGGACTGGTATTATTCTAAAAAAAAAACGGTACATAATTCATATGGAACTGTTACTGGCGTTGAATCGCAATTTATCTCGTCTCGATTCATCAACTATTAAAATCATCTGATATTTTAAACCTCCTAATATTCCCTTATTAAAGTTGAAGAACTTAAAGGATAATGAGATTGTCACTTATCTATGAAATTCATTTCGTTTGATACCACAACCACACAAGTATTTGTACTATAAATAAGTGATAAATATCATAAGTTAATAGGGTATCGGACTGTATGAGGATGATGACATCGAGATTAAATTGTAGTAACGCGAATTTGGTATAACACATAGGTACATATAAAGAATATTTGGACGGAGTTCAGCGATATAAATTAAGCATCATGCGTGTGCTCTTTCTTAGCATCGGTATCTCACATTCAAAGTTACTATAGAAACGTATATATCAATCACCATTAAATGGAAAGTTAAAAATTCATAACATTTAGAGTGCTTTTTGAAAAGAGAGGGAGAAAAAAATCAACAAAATCCGTAGGATGCAGGCAGATATTGCCATAGGCTACGCGAATAATTGATGCACTATACTAAGGGAGAATTGACCCAATAACCCGCGAACGTACTATACTTGTTTTTTTTTTAAATGAGTAGCAGAAGAGGATCGCGGAAAAAATAATTCAAAAAGCGTTTCATTATAACTGTCCTTTATTCAACAACAACAAAAATCTTAAAATTTCCCTTTTTCAATAACTTATAATATTTTTTTTTATTTGAAACAATTGACCATTTAACACTAGTCTTTAGTTAAATATAA